GGACGTACCTGGTTTTCATCATCTTAGGGGCTTATACATCACCCCTGGTACTTGAGCTTCCTAATCTCTTATCACTGCTAGTGAAGTTATTTCTGCCAGCACTACCTCTGGAGCAGGAATAGTCGCCAGGATCAGAGCACCGCCATCTCCACTACAACACAACGTCGGAGGAGTCTTCATCAACTGAACTTGCCTTCTAAGCATAGCACCAACGCTTGGATTCTCTGTTCAGGCATGCCTCTTCCATCTGAATGTTGAGTAGGGCTTCTACTACCTTCTATCGATGGTTGAACACAAATTTGGAGATAGTTCGAACCAACTAGGGAAGAAGATTCATTTTCGACCTAGGTTCTCTGGGTCAGAACCAAATCCGGATGATGGGTGCAAACAATATTAAGATGGACCCACCCAGAATTGTCCCCTTTTTGAACTCTTGGCAAAACTTGTTTTTCCAAAACTACCCCTCCTCTACCTCCATCCTTTCCCAACAATGTTTTGAAAATCGTAATCATATCATAATCATAAAGAGGCTTCAATCAAATCGTATCGTGAAGCGTATCATAAATCATAAGATTTTTTTCTAATTTTTCTAAAAATTGTCAAAAAACTATAAAAATACCTAAACCCTTTAAAAATTAGGAAAAATAATGACTTTGTACTAATTTTTAGCCTATAGACATAAGATAAATAGGTAGTAGTACTGTACTAGTAGACCGGTAGTGAGTCTGACAATTACCACTTTCATAAATCAAAATTCAATAGAAGACATGGATAAGATCACGTTCAACTTCAATTTTAAGCAATAAAAAATATATCTTTAATTGTATTGCTATTTGATATCATCATATAATTATATAAATATGAGCTTTACATGGCATCATGTCTTCACTCTTCATCCCCAAGGCTCAACAAAAGGAACTAAAAGGTTATCTAATATTCTAATTCCTAATGTTTCATTTTTCAAGTTTCAATAATTTAAGCCAAATCTACAAGAACATGATAATTTGAAGTCTCACACATCCAAGAACATGATAATTCAAAAAATTCACACATTAAATCATCAATACAATAATACAATAGTGAAACAATGCAATCAAAGAAATTAAATTCTGAAGTTTAATAATCTTTTTGGTAACTAATACCATTCTTTTTGATAAATGTTTTGGTAACTAATACCATTGCATAATTGGACATAACTCATGAGCACATTCCATTGACATAAATAGCTAAATAACCAAAGAGATCCTATGTGGACAAGTATAATAAATTACAAATCTAGCTATAAGCCTAACCATCTCCACTAAACCAGCATAAATAAAGACTTAAAGGCTGGAGCTAACAAAGGAATCCTCACTGATCATCAAGGAAAATAGAGTTCTTGAGTGTTCAGATGCAAAGATGCCCTATTCTATCATTGCCTCCTACCATTTATACACAAAAGGACACCTAAGTCATGTGAAATGAATGACTATCAAGAGATAACATGTGTATGGATCAAATTTTTAAGTCCAAAAAGAAGTGCTTCGTAAATCATAATCTAATTTTAAGGAGGAAAAAAATACAAACAAGGGGAAAATGAATATAAGAAATAATGGGGCAAAGTCAGTGTTTTAATATGAAAGAAAGAAAATAAATGAACCCTATTTTCATGTCAAAAAAAGAGAAAAAAATAGGATATATCCCTGTCTTTTCATTTAAAAAAAATAGATGTTTTTGCACAATAGAAAGCATCCCGTTTTAACCTGCAAAGTGCAAATACATCTCTGTTTTTGCATAATACAGTTTTGTTTTATGTGTAAGAAAGAATGAAAAATGGGAATGAACCCCTGTTTTGAGATTAGAGAGAGTAAGGGGAATATATCAGCGCTAAAGCCCTATTTTCATGCAAGAAAACAAGTAAAAGGATTGAGGAGAAGCCACTGTTTTATGCATGGAGAAAGGGAGAAATATTGAAGAGCTGATCCCCTGTTCTTATGCAAAAAAATTAAGATAAAAATTATGAAAAAAAGGAAAATATAACAGGGCTCTGAGCCCCTGTTTTTATGCAAGAAGAAAGGATGAAACTAGGGAGGACCCCTAGTTCATGCAAAAGGAGGAAAAACATATGGGTCGAAGCCCCCTGCTATCATGAAAAAAAAAAGAATGAAAAACATGGAGCAGAGCCCCTGTTTTCATTTCAAAAAAAAAGATTGAAAGAAATGGGGCGGAACCCCTGGCTTTTGTGTCAAAACAAGAAAGAATATATTTAGAAGAAAGAAGAAGAAAAAGGAGGAGGAGGAAGAAGAAGAAGAAGAAGAAGAAGAAGAATAACAGTAGAAATCATGTACAGAAAACCAGTAGAGAAGGAGGTTTGGAGCTTAAACCGAAACAATGGAGGGTTTCTTCTCTCCCAATCCCCCACTCAAGTCTTTTCCTTAATGGTAAGTCATGTTTGATCGACCAAAGAGGCTATTTTATGTTTTGTAACTAAAATGACAATTCTGCCCCTTGATGTAAAAATGAAACTTTAAAAAAGAGGGGGTTAAATCAGCATTTACTCTTAAATTAACCTTTCAGCTCTAATTGTTTGAATCGTGTATGAATCAAACCTCACAATTTAAATTAGCGATTTGACTATAAATCGTACGATTAATTCCAAAAAACGATTAATATATACGATTTTTATCATTTTGGCCCCAATTCATATGCCTTAAAATCGTGAATCACATGATTTTAAAAACATTGTTTCCCAACACCCCACCACTTGTCAGCCTTTTCAATTGGAGAGAATCTCCGGATGGCAGCAGATCCAGTTCCTATAGACATTCCATCAAGGTCTCTTTGACCCAATTTTTTGAGAAACCCACCCAGCCCTGATCTTTATTTGAAATTTGAAAATTTCCTTGGTTATCAGTTGAATCCGAAGACTCCATCCAACAGTTGTCCAGAGAAGGATGATATCTTTCGGATTCTCCCGTACGATATGACAGGACTGATCATGGTCCGTCCGCATTACAGGCCACAAGTCCGCCCCACTCTCCCCATTCGTCTTCTCCCTCTCCGGCGAACTCCCTTCACCACTGCCTTCCTCTTCTTCGTCAACAAGAACCTAAGTTCTGCTCACCGATGAGCCCTCCCGCTCTTCCTGATTCCCTTGACCCCTCACCCCATCCCCTTCCTCTCTCAGCTCCTTTTTTCACCTCCTTTTGAATCACCCTCAATCTTCTCTCCGACCAAATCCAAACACTGAATGACAGGTCCCTATTTCAATATCCATCTTTTCTAGGATCACACCTCAAGCCTTAACCTTTGTTCTAACCCATTCACATGTTTTGAGTTCTTCAGAAGAGTCATTCGTCCCTTAGACCCCAAATTCTCAGGAAGGTAACTCAACATTGTTTCCTCCCACCACTCCAACGCCAGTCTGTTTTGACCGCAAGACCAAGGTCCATTCAGGAGGACCAATTCCACCTCTTCCTTAGATGAGAATATGAACAAAAACAGATCTTCAATAAGTTTTTTCACCCTCACCCCACCCACTACACTCCAACGACTTGCAGCCAATGCTTCAACTTCATCAACCAAGTACTTCCTATCAAAATAGCCCACTAAACAGCCTTACAAGAATACCCTTCTCACCCTCACCCCCTCCACCGTTTAGTTACTCCAAAGTTCGGCCACGCTCCCACCAATGCCACTTTCTTATAAGAAAAGTTTCTTCTAAAGCTATCTCCCTTTCTACATGGGTTGAACCACATCTCTGTTCCTCACCTTCTTCCCCTACCCCTCTCGAACTAGTTCAATTCCATCATCATGAAGAGACTAAAACCCCCTTTATTGCTTCAACAACTTCTACAACGGGAACCACCCCTTCTTACCTCCAATAATCATCTCCCCCATCCCTATCGAACATTTAAATCCTATATAGAGTACATTGTTTGAACTCTAAATGTCATAGGTACAATCTACAATGGATCATAGGTCCCTATGGTAGTGCCTGCATGGATCTACTTCTCATATTTGTAACAATGAGAATAAAAGTGAATATAGCATTGGGGATTTACTGATTACCTATTAGTGGGATCTATGGTTGGATCCCCAATAAGAATGCAACTCCAAATGTGTAAAAAAAACTGCATATTATATTTATCCAGCATCTATACTTGCATGCTCAAAGGTATATTCCTATTAGGGATCCAGCAAAGGACCCCACTAATTGGTAATCAATAGGCCCAAAGTGGTGAATACAAGTCATATCTTCGTGGGTTATGGTGCAGTGGTGATGGCCCCCTATGGTACTGCTAGGTAATTGTATTCTTGAAAGTGTAACAAAAAGAAGTGAATAATGCCTTGCCCCATAGAAAAGAAAAACCAATTTAAGATACACATCTCCAGTTTCTCCCAGTACTTGTTTGTTATGTTCATGAGAGGATGGCTTAAAAAATGCAGTCTCTTGTTTCCAACCTCCTTGGAGTCCATTGGTCTAATATAGTGTTTTAAAAGAGCAAGGGGGCACAAAACAAAATGCCAAATTTTCAGAAAAAAAAAAACAAAAAACATTAAATAATATTTTTATGTAATATTAATTAAAAATATAAACTGCAAAACATATTAATATTAAACATAATATAAACAGTTGGATTGCTCCATTGCAACCTAGGTGACTAGAGTTCAAATCTTGGAAGCAGCCTCTCTGTATGTGCAAAGGTAAGGTTGCATACATCTGTCCCTCCCCAGACCCCGCATTGGTAGGATCCTCAATGCCCTTTTTATTAATTAAAAATATTAAACAAAAAGCAATTTAAACACCTATTTAAAAATTTAGATACAATGATACATAAACATAGCATGTAAAACATATTTAAAATGAAAATTTAAAAATAAAATCAAGCATAACACATACAACATGTTCACGCATGTAAAACTCTCAACCTCTTTATTCTTTTCCTAATTGCATTACTTCAAATAGCTAATGTGATGTTAAACATTATGCATTCCCAATTCTACAAACCACTTTTGTACCAAACCACTTGAGGCAATCCCAAACAAGTCCATATCAAGGTGTTAAATTCTTAATCCCTATTAAAAGATTTTAACTGTAATTGTCTTTCAAAAATATCATTTATTAAGATGAATGAATGAGAAACTTTAGAAAATATGGGGTTTTCAGAGCTTTGGGCTGAACCACAAGGCACACTAGGTGCATGCCTAGGTGCACCAGGCGCGCGCCTTTTGAAAGTGCTGCACATGGGGGCTCGACAAGGTGCATACCTTAAAATGTGCCTCGTCTGTGTGCCTACTGCCTAGGCACACCTTTTAAATCACTGGTCTAATCTGAATATAAGTAGGCTGATTTAACAGCATTAGCAAATCATTGTGGCTGGAGGCATGTTCACTCAGGGGGAGAGAGAGAGAAAGAGAGATTTGGAATGTAATTACATGCTACTATATGAATTCTCCATGTAAGCAAAACTAGCATGCATTTATAGAATATTCACATCCATTACTATACCAGAACCCTTCATTTTTCATCTTTGTAATATCGAGGATAAGAGCTCCATGTATTCATGAGAGCGCTATCTAATAATGGGGACACTAATTTGTCAACTCCCCAAGCAACTTATCTAGTTTTCACCACAACAAGGGAGCCTACCAATGAATTCAGATCAATAATTAATAACATCTCCATGGAATCTGGCTCCAGATGATTTTAAGAGGCAAATTTTTTTAGGGTAAGCTTGACAAGGGCACAAGAACACATGAATACTTGGGGTCATCTTTGTTTATTTGTTTGTTGATACTTAGGGTAAGCTTGACAAGTGCCAAAGTTCTGAGAGCAGATTTGCTTCTGTATAACATGCAAAAGTGCAGGTCCACACACACACACAGAAAAAAGGGCAGGCTTCCAAACAGCAACCTCGATTTGAAACAACAGAAAAAAGGGAAAAACATATACCATAAATGAATGAATTGTAAGGGCAAAACATACACTATAAATGACTGAATTGTCAAACTAGTATACAATTTAATATAAATACCTGGTTGTGGGGGGTTACGCACAGGTGCAGGACGACGAGCTGCACGAGGAGCAGATCTTCCTGCAGAAATAACGTCAAGCCACTCATTTAAATAAAAGAAACAAATAAACAGGAGAAGCGCACTAGAACCAATCAATAGTCAAAAAGGCCTATCCAGTCACAACAAATCTGTGAAGGAACCAAGAACTGGTATGTGCAAAGAAAAAAAGTAATATCAACATGAAATTTGAAATGAAATTCAAAAACTTCCTCAAAAGGGTCCGAATTAAAGAAACGATAATGAACCAAAAGCAAATAATTATAATTATTGGCCTTCATCAAGTAGAATGCACATACACCAATAAACCAAAAAAAAACCTGGAACAATAAGAAACAAGTTACTAGATATAGGTAAAGACGATACCCACTTGTCCAACAGACATTAAAAGAAACATAAAACATTGTACATCTCTTATGGCCCTTAGAGAAAACCCGTCTGCTTATCCATCGTATCAGAAACAGATTAAAGAGAGAAAAATAAATGTCGATAGATTATCAGATAACAACCAGATGCATTCAAATAAATAGTACGAACCCTATAAACATATGTGCCTATAGGCAATTTCTATGATGCCGGAAAGGTATGGTACCAGAAAAACTTTGACCAATCAGAACCCCCCCCCCCCCGGTGGATTGATTACCATTTCTATGATACCAGTTGATTCGTTATCATTTTTTCGGTATCATAGTCGGACTCGCATGTAAAAGAGGATAATCAATCAGAATTTAACGAAATGAGAGGGGGAAACTATATAAACAACAAAATATGTGATTATAAATCAAGGAAAATGATTCCGAGAAATGCAAAGAAAACAAATTCATCTGGCGCTAATCGAAGAACAAATAAACCCTGATAAAATAAACATCAAGCAGGATAATAGAAATAGAAAATTTTGTTAAAATTTGTTCGTCGAGCTTCTACAGATCAAGGAAAGCGAATCAAAGAAAAGATCGAAACGCACCACCGGAGCTACGACGAGGCATGGTTTCTCAGGTGAAGCGGCAAAAGGGTAGTGAGATGAAAGTAGAACAAGGGAGAGAAAAAAGCAAAGGTAGCAACCTAGAAGCCCAAATCGACTGCGGATCTCCAACTCGACGGGAGCGGGCAGAAACAAGTTTTCGATTTATAGCAAGATATCTTCCCCACCAAGTCAAGATGAAGGTATTTACATTATACGCCCCCTCTAGAAATGCTATTTACAGTATGCTTGCAGACCCACGGGCGCTTAAAGGATTGATGACAGACTTGGTTAAAAGATCGTTGGATTGGAATATTTTTGTTTCAAAGCACAAATTGATTGACCGTTAGTCAATCACCTCCTCCAGGCTCCAGTTCCTAAGGGTCCGAACCTGCGAACAAAACACGTTCTAATTCGGACGTTTTGAGATATACGGGGTGTTAAATCAAGTGAATAGAGAGGTTGGAATCAAGAGTTAAAGTATTCGCTATTATATGGGACCATTTGGATATGGATATGAATACGGATACGTTTTGAAAATGCATAGATACCGATGAAAAAACATGGAGACACTTGGATACATCAGAAAATGCATATAAATTTTATTAATAACATTAGTAGCTCACTATCAGGGAGCTCGTCATCAAGTAGTTTACTATTAGGGAGTTCGTCACCAGGTAGCTCACCACCAGGGAGTTCGTCACCAGGTAGCTCACCACCAGGGAGCTCGTCACCAAGTAGCTCACCACTAGGGAACTCGTCACCAGGTAACTCACCACCAGGGAGCTCGTCACCAGGGAGCTCACCACCAGGGAGTTCGTCACCAGGTAGCTCACCACCAGGGAGCTCGTCACCAAGTAGCTCACCACCAAGGAGCTCACCACCAGGGAGTTCGTCACTAGGTAGCTCACCACTAAGGAGCTCGTCATCAGGTAGCTCACCACCAAGGAGCTCGTCACCAGGTAGCTCACCGCCAAGGAGCTTGTCACCAAGTAGCTCACCACCAGGGAGCTCCACCATCCTCTCATGGGAGCAGGTCAAATGGCGAGGCACTTAGCCAAAAAAAAAAAAAAAATTGATACATCACAAAAAATTAGTACGTGACTAGAAACGGTTACATCAATAGTCTTTACACAATATTTTGTAGAAAGATCCCCAAAGTGAGCTAATCATGTTCAGTCCAAAGATTTACAGATCCTGCATAGGATTCTCTAATATTGATCCCTTAATATTCAAACGATGACATCACTCACGCCACATCAGTATAACAGGGTCACATACGAAGAGAATCTGTAAAGATTAGGATTCTCTTATAATGATTCCTTAATATTCAAACAAAAGAAAAAATCACATTACCTAACAGAAAAGATCATATTTCCTAAAATGAAAGAACTTCTTCCTTGATAACCTTAACTTCCTCCCTATAAAAGGGAGAGAGCAATTCTTCCACAGGAGGGCAAAACAATCACAATCCTGACCTAGGGTTTCTCACAAGGGATACTCCCTTCTCTCCTCTCTTTCCCACATCCTTTCTCCTTCCCGCCGCCATCTCTGGACCTTCGGAGACTGACCAACCTTCGCCTTACCAGAGTGTTTACATTAGAATCTCTGGTTTCTATCTTCATCTCCGGGAAAATGGTGTCAAAACGACCTCTCGGGCTCCAGCAATTGGCCAATGACGATGTTCAACGTGATAACAGTATATCGGTATCGAGTGATGAAGTTGCGCGAGTCAATTGATCTGAGTTCCCCGAATAGGTCCGCATTGGATTCATGTTGTTATACAAGCCTCTTTCGTTTCTTCATGACGTGATTCACGTCTAGCTGCATTGAATGATCAAGCCCTGTTAAAATAGTACGAACTAATGCCATCATCATCCTAACCATTCTTTTATTAGCGAGCATCGTATCCAATGGGCCATCGAATACCATTCCAAGACTTCTCCCTTCATCGAGCAAGTAGCAGTCTACAACGGTTGAAGGTTTTTTTTTCTTCCTCTCTCTAAATTTTTATTTATTCGGTAGTTGGACTGTTTCATTATTAATCTCTTGGGTCAAATGATATATCTAATCTAGTCATAGGCGATCGATAGTTCTATGCTAATTAATCCCTCGTACAGAGAATGTAATCTTTTATTTGGTAAAGTATACATTCTTTCAAAAAAAAAAAAAAAAACGTTTCAAAATAGGCTAAGGATTTTCTTGCTTCCATGGAAGACGAAATTAAGGACATCCAGAGTCAGTTTTGACCTTTATCTCGCTTGATGAAATCGACTGTCACCAATTATGACATATTGCTCCTAGATGTCTTACCACTTGTTATCTCTTGTTTAGGAACTTCTTCGTCATTAAAACCCAGATTTTGTTTTCTTTACTCTAAGTCTCCCTCTCCACGTTGCTTGATTCAGAATGTCCTGTGGCCATGGTGAGTCCCATTGAACCGCTTTGCAAAGTTTGAAGAAATATGCCCTATTACTTAATTTGCGAATAAGTTTATTGTTTCCCTTTTCATCACTTAACGGATAAATGAAGTGGAATTTTGATAGAGAGTGGCTATCGAATGCACGACTTCCAGAAACCTTATATTAATTTTGGCAATTGTATTCAAGATGGATTCTATTTTCTTCTTTTTCTTACAACACCCCTCTCTCTATATTATTTTCTACCTGGTGAATGCCAAGTTGACATAAGCCGATGGTAACAAAGAAGAAATATTCCCCTTATTTTTTCAAACCACCAATAATACCCCATTTGGAGGCTAGTGAATTGCCCCTGTGTATTTTTAATTTCCCACATCCAGGGCTATTAATCTTCCTTTATGATAACTCCTATCTTTGGTTGTCTTTCATCCTTCAGCTTATCATAGAGTTATCTTGGCATGCACATTTCTTATATTAGCTAATTTGAACAATTAATGTTAGCAATTTTTATTTAGGTTAGCTGAATCGATCTTGACTTTATAACTTTAAATGCTTTATGCTTGCATCAAACAAGGGGAAGGGTTGATCAACCCCTTCAAAAAAATAAACAATAATAATAATAATGACGATGAATGATTTTTAACAATTAAATTCCGAATACATTATTTCAACATGATAATTATTTTCAAAAATCATCTTTAGCTCACGGGAAATGAATGGTTTCAAATGTGTTCAATGATTTCAAAAGTTACCTCCCTCCCCACCTTATCTTATTTTCCATTATTAATAAGTCATAGAATTGACTAACGGAGCTACTTCCCAATTACTTCAACACGTTAAATAATAGTCAAAATAATACTTTCAAACATCATTCTTTAATAAGGAATTGTTCTTCTAAAACACACTATTTTAGCATGGTGTTTCTGCCATATAATTATTTTTCAAAACGTACTTTCAATATTGTCTCTTAAAATATATTATTTGGTTTCGAATTTATGTATCACCGTATTTATCAAGAACATGTTTTCAAATAAGACCTTTTTTTTACTCCATAGTCAAGATAGGACTTTGAATCGATTTGTGAATTTTGAAATGAATTTTAAACAAGCGATTACCCATTCATCACATATCTTGCGATTCACTAACATGCTTCTTGCAACGTTATAAAAAAATCTTGATCAGTAGCACAACCCATTCATTGTAGGCCTGGTTTACTAGGCTCGGGCACTGCCTCCGGGCTGACACCCCGGTTGTATTAAGCCCTAGACACCTCGGGCACACCAGTAAGCCCTGGCACCCCAGGCACACTACAAAGCCCTGGACACCCCAGACACTCTACTAAGCCCTAGCACCTCGGACACACATGCAAAGCCCTAGACACCTTGGGCACCTCAATAAGCCCCAGCACCCAAGGCACACTACAAAGACCCGGACGCCCCAGGCACTCTACTAAGCCCTGGCACCCCGGACACACATACAAAGCCCTAGCACCCCAGGCACACTACAAAGCCTCGGACACCCCAGGCACTCTACTAACCCCTAGCACCCCGGGCACACATACAAAGCCCTAGCACCCCAGGCACACTACAAAGCCCTGGACACCCCAGGCACTCTACAAAGCCCTGGCACCTCGGGCACACATACAAAGCCTTGGACACCCCAGGCACCTCAATAAGCCCCGGCACACCAGGCACACTACAAAGCCCTGGACACCCCGGGCACATCAGTAAGCCCCGGTACCCAAGGCACAGGCAAAGCCATGGCAACCCCAGGCATAGAAAGCCCTGGAAAACCCAGGCACAGATAATGCCTTGGCAACTCCAGGCACAGAAAGCCCTAGCAAACCCAGGCACAGATAAAGCCCTGACAACCCCAAGCACAGAAAGCCCTGGCAACCCCAGGCATAGACAAGCCATGGCAACCTTAGGTGCAACTGCACCTCCATGAAACTATTGGGAGGCTTTGTCGACATCAGGTATGATTCCTATCGAATTTATAAACGCAAATACTTTGTCTAAACTTAGAAATGCAACATTTCAAAGGGGGGACAAACTCCACCCGTCTCGCACAACTGACAACAATACTTTGCTAAAGAACAACACTAGTTCCGACCATCACTACCTCACTCCCACAAAAGGTTCAGGTTTCCCTCTCATATGCTAACCAAAATCCTACCCCAAAAGGCAACCAAGGCCTGATGCTCATAATCAACCTTTGGGGTAGTCGCTTCCCAAACAGGGTTGCGATGAAACCCTAACTTCTGCTAACTATTTATATTTATATTGACTGAACTCCAACTATATCACCCATGGAGGGCCCCCCGTCGACCTCAGACACGACAACGTTGTGATATTGGGACAACTCCTCTCTATGAATACGTCATGTACTCATTTTACGTAACTTTATCGCACATAATAGTACCTCGTATATTGGAATAACACTGCTCGATTTGCGATAAAATTCACTATGTCTATGCTAATACTTAATTATGATAGAGTCCAATGGGCTCTCAACCCATAAATACTTAATCCTGTCACCTTGATGTTTCCTATAAACCCATGAAGCACTTTCCAATATTAGCGAACGCTCGCAACTTTCTTTCTCAACAATGTTTAACCTTGCGCTGAGCCTCCAAACTAAGGAGCACACATGATTTCATTTTATATTAGTTCACAATTAATTGTTGATTACACTTGCAATGGTGTTCGATTGCGATTAACTCCTATAATACTTACGAAAAGTACTTATTTGCGA